GGATGATACGACGGAGGACATTTCGCAAATCGAAATTACGGACGTTGAGAAAATCGGAACTCAAGTTGGTGTGCAATCGATCTCGAAACCGGAGGAACCGGAAACTGTACTGCCTCTCCAAAGGGAGAGCAACGTTATGGAAACGAGTACGGATTCTCTCGAGCTGGAAGATAATATGGATAAAAAGCATCATCCGTTGTGTCGAAGCTCCGATTCGTTAGAAATGAAAACCACGCTAGACTTTCCTTCGTTGAGTTCCGACTCGTTGAACAACGTGCGAGATGCGAAGGAGATGCAATCGGACGTAGCCGAACATGCAAGCAGCGTTAGGCGTATTTCTTCGGATTCTCTAGATATGCCTCTGTTGGAACCACAAGATGCTGAAAGTCGCGAGAGGCCAAGCAACGAGGACGATCATTCGGATGGCGTCACGTCGGACAATTCTCTAGAGCAAAGGTCAGAAACGGTGGACACGGATAAAAGTGATAAAATGAGGACAACACCAAGCACTAATACATAGGAATATTTTCGTAGGTACGTATCGTATGAAAAGATTATGTTCGACAACGTAGTTACCGACCTTATGGTTCTACCGTAGTCATCGTAGCGTGTACTACCCTTAAGCCCTTTGCTTTCTGTCATCGCCGATAAAATTGCGTGAATTCTAATTCTTTGCGCGGTAGTAACATAAATGTACAACTAATTGGTTCAAGAATAAAAAGTACACGAATGATTTCTATTCGTTCGCTTGGTTCCCTTAAACTTCATTGTCGCGTTATAGTGGCCAATTTCGTACGATTATTCGAACGACTAATTATTATCGAAGAATCGCTTCGAAAAATTCGAACGCTTGTTTTTTAGGAATTTTCAAGAACGGTCTTCGGAAATATGCATTGTCCGAGCGGATATTCGTAACGAGTGATTTTAATATCCGAACACTGTGAAACGTTTACTTTGATGCATATAATTCTTTCGAACAGTAGCTCGATACAACCTGTTCTTTTTTTTTTTTTTTTTATATTTCGCATATCATTCGAAGACTCGTTTTTTCCTATGCAAAGAGATACGATCGTTTTCAATAGCATTCAACTACGCTTCTTACGGACGATCTGTAATGAAAAGTATTTGAGAAAATTTGTCTTTCCATCGTAGCATATCTATATCCATAGATGTTGCTCATTACGTATCGTGCGCTTGAATATTAAACTCGTTATCTCGTTACAGATAGTGGACCATCGAAGTGAATTTGTTACAACATTGGTTCTTAAGGCTACAACGATGTATTATCGAGCCAGTTCAAATGCTTTACGTATACAGCATAATATGGAAAATGATGTACTAAAGAAATACTTGCGCGCTGTGCATATGCAAGATATTAATGCATTTACCTTTATTTTATGCCATGTTTTATAAGAATACGTAAATTGTTTTACGATGCTTAAGTCGAATAGTTATGATCTTTAAAATATAGGATTGTTATGAAAATGAGATAGGAATACGAATGACGCTTACTTATTTCGTATTAAATCCGTACTAGAATGTAATTGCTTTCCATTTACTTGTTTAAATAATTACGAATATCTTGCTTCGTTGTTCACGTTTGTTTGTAGCGATTAAGTTTATATCGCAAAATTGTACTTTTAAATGTTATTCATATTGTCCTACTTGTATGATAATACTATTTACATAAAGTGTCATGTTTTGTAAATTTTCGATTATAACGTGTCTTTGTGACTACGCTTTCTTAAGGTGTTGACAGTTACGAACACTTTATATTGCATACTGATTTTCAAGAAACGTTTACGAGCTCTAATACTCGTTAATCTTAATTGCAAGTGTTCACGAAAGAACAAATATATTAATTAAATAGAAAATTTTATATACGAACCGTAATATTTAAGGTTTTAGGAGAAAACTATCGAGAGAATGCATTCTCTACGTAATATACGATGCATATGTGCAAATGTTGTAGACATTTTTTGTATGCGAAATTTTAAACAATTACGAAATTTTGCTTTCGTCTATTTGCCGACGATAAATTTCATGTATTTTATCGGTCATGCGAATTTTACGTTACGACAAAATTTTAACGATGTCTTTCATTTGTCTTCATAATCTGTTTCTTTCTTCATCGATGAAAATATAAATCTATATGAACCAAATAATATCATCATTTATTGAAACCCCAATATTCATCGCAATTGATAGTTGCTTGGATAACATACTTGATAGAACTTCGATTATAATAGAGCAATAACTTCGTCTATACGTAAGGTAATTAATAAACGCAAAGTCATACGCGCAACTAACAAAATATTGTAAAATAAAATGAAGAAAACAATGAAGAAATACAAGATACATTCAACATTCACGAAGGCCTTTTTTCGGTAGTTCCTTGCATCCTTTATTTAAAAATAAATCATCGCTCTTAGAAGCGTTCGTACATCTTCTCTCGCCTGTCTCACACGCTACATACATACATATGTTTCTGTATTTTCTGTAAGTATGCCTATGAATATGTTCTCGATTTTAAAGAGCTTTAACAAAAACTGATTGATAGCTAAAAAGTGAAACGAAATAAAAAAGCAAAATAATGGAATTAACTTACTTGCCTCTGAAATTCTACATCGTTTCTTTATCCATTGCACGATAAATATTTACGATTATAAATAAATTCATAACGATATCTGTTGCATGTGATTGTCAAAAAAAAAAAAAAGAAAAACAAAAACATAAATTTGAAATTTATAAAATTTTAAGAATATACTTTTTAATTTTGTTATATAACATTGGCAAGTCATTTTGTTGTATCATTTAGGAAAGGAATAAGAGAAACTATTTGAGAACTAATTGTATTAAACATAGAAATTATGCAAACTATTGTACGGTTGGAACGTTTAGACCCAAATGGGATATTTCTACTGTAGAATAGTATCACAGGATAATACTACTTACATTAACTTACTAATAATAGCTATAGTTTCATTACTAAACGATTAATGGCTTTATTATTTTTATCAGTCGCTGACTTGATTTCTAAATATAATTTTTATCCATATTAGTTTCGGCAGAAATCTATCGTTACACAATTCATATATTTATTTCCTTAATCATGATTCATAACTTGATGTCGATACTCTTTAGCCTGACGTATTCGTTTATGGTATACACCGACGTATCGAGAGTGCACAATACCAAAGATAATGATAAAAATCAGAAGACTGTCAATATTTATGTTCCTCAGAGATTATTCGTGCGATTGTATGTGTGTTACGCTATTTCATCGTTTCTTTAAATGATGTATCAAAGTTCGTTAACTTCGAGCGTCTTCTGTAGTGAGTAAGTATCAAATGTTCTAGCAAACAGAGTGAATTATGAACTTTGTTCGATTCTCACATTGTTTTACCTAACATGAACATAAATATCAATTAAAAGATGTGATTTTTTATACTTAGGATCGTTTGAAAACCATACGATTTTTAGGTAATTGAATGTATTTCTAACATTTTTGTAACTCGAAATCTTGTAATTTCGTAAAAAATAAACATAACAAAAATTATAATCTATCCTACTTGAAATCGTATAATCCCATTTACCTAATCGCAAGTAGATTCGCTCTACTTTTAAATATATACAGCAGATATATTTTGAATCATCCTGTCTGGTTTAGTTTTTCGCACGCGTAAAGAAAAAGTACAGTACTCTTTAACTTTTACATATTTTCTAACTTTCAAATTGATTTTGCACGAAAAGGGAACGATGATTACTATAAATTCGCAAAATCCTGTAACTTCTTCTCTGTAACATCCTGTACAATACTTGCATATACCTAAGTAAGCGTATAAAACTATTTATAAATTTTATCTACGGAACAATCTGCTGCAAGGCATATATTCGAGTTAACAATGCCGTTTAAACGCTTCACATCCCGCATTCTAAACGTACTTTGAACAACGGCTATCTAAACCTGTTGCACATGTAAAAGAAGGAATAATTCAGGAATTTTAGAGCTTCCAATGTTTCAATCCAATCGAATGCTTTGTCATAAAATTTCGTATAAGAAATATTTGGTAATTATTTATAAAGGGACCCACCTCTCCGATTTCGATGATTTTTTAATGTGTTGTAGAAATTAACATTTTGAGCATTATCCATTCGCATTATAAACAAAAGATAAGAGCTAGGTTTAGATTGGTTTTTGTATTTGTTGGTTCGGTTGTTGTACTCGCCTGTCTCAAGGCTACCGGCAATACTCACGCGTACACCGCCACAGATGCACAATTACACGCACAATTACACACGCGATTCACTGCAGCGGTACCGACAATCTTTTTGCCAATGTATATTTCAGAAACTAAGGCCGAGTGGGGGTTACACGCATAGGGAAAAGTTGTTCAAAATGTCGATATCTGAAACATATTCGGAAATCATCGAAATCGACGAGCTGCTTTGTTAATAATTGCCAAATGTTTTCATTATGCAATGACGAAACAAGTACATTGAGTGTAAAAAAAGTTCTATTTTTTTGTGGTTTCAATAGAATTCAAGGAACCAAGGGAAGCTGTTTGAAATAAAATCGCAATGGATCGAAGATTTAAAGGAGATCAATGACGTAAGTTCAGGTAGAAAACTGATTATTATAATATTATTATTATTATATATTATTATATATATTATTATATATAACAACAGTATATATATGGTAGTATATACATGATATTTTTGATTACTATATTAATCGTATTCAAAAAGTTATGTTATTTTCTTATTGCTCGTAGAATAATTTATTCGACATTTTTATGAAACGAGCATATAATACTCTGAAATGAACGAATACCGAATACAAAAGACATTTCATTATCTATATACTTCTATATTAATTGTGAAAAAGTTTTGTACAATTGCGAATATGCCTATGTACAGGATATAGCTAATTTTTTATTCAAACGAGGATAACTATGGATAAACCCTCACGGTCATATCAATAAATACTTAATTTCTATATTCCACTATATTTATTGTTTGTGAAATGTGTACAACAATGATATCGAATAATGTATTATTTATCACATAAATATCAATGAGACAGAATAATCGTATATAGTGTAAATACAGAATTTATGTGTAAATATTTTCATCATGCTCCGTAACATTAGTTTGATTCCTATATCTTGTTACGGTTATAAAATTTGATTTTACTGTATGGAGAAAATGTAAAATCCAAATGCAAAACGAAATTACATATATATAATAGATATATAAATTTATGGAACAATATATTTTGGAGAAACTTAAATAAATAAGGCATCGAATGAATTCCAAAATTCCAGCATATTTTGATTTATCAAATAACAAACCAATAGTGGTAAGAGCAAGCAAATTATTAATAACGATAAATCCTGATGATATGGTCCTTAAATCCTATATAGAAAAGTATTTAATATTTGAAAAATAGACAAGTACAACGTTTGAGCATATAAAGAAACAAAGATATTTAAATTATTACGATGCTCACCTGTGTTTCCTCGTATATTTGAAGATGATGATAAACAACTAGGCAAAAGTGTATAATTACGTAAATGTTTTGCCACTGCGGTATATAATTATCATATTTAATCCTAGATGTAACCTATTGGAAATAACGACAATGATATTATTACCATAAACGTGCTTTGAAATAAATGTATTTATGGTTATGAGATTCAGTGATCGTGTGGTGAAGAATACCCATAGTAAAACCAAACCGGTTTATGTGGTCTTGTTGGTGATTCAAACTAGTACCTGTGCCATATCGGCATTTGCTGTTATATGCCAATTACATAAATCCATTAGTATTCTTAAAAGCGAATTATATATTCGTAAATATTATTTAATGATGCGTCCGAACGTTTGCAGCGAGCTCATTTTACTTTCATACAAGTACTTTCATACAATCTAATTCTCTTTCTATCGGTTGAATTATTTATAAAATATTGTTGGTAATCAGAAAATAATGCAGTGTACAACAGGAGATAGTACATTTTTCAAATACATTTGTGAGTCGATTCTAATAATAACAGTAACGATATGTAATACCGATGATAATGTAGTCGCAACAACATAAAAGTGTATAAAATATAAAACTTACATTAATTTTATATTTATCCAGACCTAAGCGAGGAATACCTGGGAACCAACTAGGACCTTTCCAGATAACACCTAACTTGTCCATAAAAGTTGACATCCGTGTAATCTTTTTAAATAATTCTGCAGTGTAAAATGTCTATAACAATTCAAAATTATTATATTTTATATTAACAAATGAAATCGTTATGCTATATACGAATGTGTTACATATACTGGACCAAATATATCTGAACGTATATCGAACAAACATGCATTGCTATAAACAACATGGATTAGTATATTAGAGGCAAAATTATTGTAAATTACACATAAGCATAAATAATTTAATTTGTAATTTTCATGTCGGTGCAATTGAAAATATTCGATATACAAATTAATCTATAAATGAACGAATCAAAGTATGGATTACTACAGTTCATTAAAATGTAGATTAGCTCTGAAATCATGTCAACCGAACGCATATTTACATAACTGATTATATAACAGAATGTAACAGAATGATCGTTCGTTTCATTAACGGTTAAACAAAGAGACATGGTCTAAACAAATATGACCTTACCTGTAAATACAGGGGATTAAAAGATTGAGCACTAACAACTAAGCCATAAATTATCTCTTCCTTTTCCTTTTCTCGCACGAATGTTCCAAATAATTTATCCCATATGATGAGAACGCCGCCGTAATTTTTGTCCAGGCAATATAAGTTGCAACCTATCCACGATATATAATAATTATAATTGATAATAATCGTAATAATGATTATTAACAATAACATTTAATATAATATAAAACCCATCTGTCTTTTACCATGATGTACACGATGATGTTTTGGTGTGTTGAATATTAACTCGAACGGTCCAAGATCATCAATAACAGTCGTGTGAATCCATAATTGATAAATTAAATTAAATTGATTATGTACGATGAAATGCGATGGCGGTATAAATAATGCAAGAGGTAAATATAACATCTGTAAACAGATTACACACATGTATCTCTATAATATAGCGTGGAATAACATTTTTGTACATTTGCACAATTGCACATTTGCATATTGTATATATATACACGATATTTTATCTTTAGAGAAAGTTTATGCTATAACGTTATAACGTTTATGCAAGATTATTTATTTACAATTACAAAATTACGTCATATCGATAGAACATGTTTTAGATATTTCAGGAAGATGTGACTTACAAAGATGTGATCAACAGCAAAATTAAAGCATCGCGAAATCTTCGTTGAATATATTTTCATCTCCTGAACAAAAATCGTACGTTAATCTGTCTAGGACCAATTCGAAGAATCAAGCCTCTAGTAACCTCAACATTGTTGAGAATAAATTGATTTTAAGGGAAATACTACAACTTTTCACTTTTCGATCTTCGCATTTACAGCGATTTGAGTCACGAAAATAATTGTTCGATTTCCGAAGGCACATTTAGTTCCGTAAAATCGTTGAGAAAAACAGTATCTTGACTTGTCCATCCTGCTGACTAGTGTAAAAGTGTCTACAACGATATAAGCGATATAAATGGCAAAATACATTTAACGAAAGTAAATTCGCTTTGCTTGTGTTTTTTTTTTTTTTTTTTTTTTTTTT